AGTGTGTCGCAGAGGAAATGTGTTCACCTCACTCTGAGTAGAAAGCAAAGAGAGCAGAAGGGGAGGATTCTGAGTTCTGATACTTTCTTCAAGATCATGCCCTCATTGATCTGACCCCACCTTCTATTGTTTATTTTTGTATTTGTGCATAATCACTGCACAAAATGGTGGCTTTTGCTGCAATATTTTCATGTATGTATACCATGTACTTTACTCACATTCCTTGCCTTATTGATTTTCTAGTCCACAAACAGTCCTACCTCTACCTAATGCCATATGTATACACATATATCAACATACACATGTATGTATGTAATATAGATTCTTCACAGAAGAGAAAATGTGATATTTGTCTATCTGTGTCTGGCACATTTGGTTTAATATAATGCTTTCTCTCTCTATTTTCATTTGTTTCCTTGAAAATAATGTAATCTTCTTCTTCTCAGGGAGGTAATACTCCACTGTTAGAAGAAGCAGATAACCCTTAAATCAGTTAGCTACTGCTGATGAGATGGCTCATCAAGTAAAAACACTTGTTCTACAAGCCTTAACTGAATTTCATTCTTTCTTTCATTGTTTCCAAAAGAGGGTTTCTCTGTGTGTAGCCCTGGCTCTCCTGGAACTCACTCTGCAGATCAGGCTGGCCTCGAACTCACAGAGATCTGCCTACCTCTGCCTCCCAAATGCTGGGATTAAAGGCTTGTACCACCACTGCCTGGTTTGAATGTGATTTCTTCCACAATGTAGAAACTGAACTTACTTTGTAAAGTTTTCTTCTGAACTCTACATGTTAATAAATACAAATAAATAAAAGTCATGCAAAAAGAATGAATCCTGTAGCTGGGCCTGTTGGTGCAAGCTTGTAATCTCAGCTACTACAGAGTCCAAGGTAGAAGATTGGAATTCCAAAGCTTGCCAAATGCACCCGTCTCCGGGTATGCTCAGCATTTGGCAAGTACAGACAGAAAACTTAGAAGTTCAAGGTCACCTTCAGGTACACAGTGAATTCAAAACCAGCCCTGGATACAAACTAACAAACAGCAAACACCCCAGATAGTCCAAGGCCTACATAGGCAACTTAGTGAGACTTTGTATCAAACAATAATAAAACAAAACAAAACAAACAACAGAGATGTAGATCAACACTAAAGTACTTTCCTAGTATTTGGAGGAGCTTGGATTTAGATTTAATTCACAGTACTGAAAGAGAAGGAGGTAAGAGAAAGAGAAAGACTAAGAAACAAAGTGTCTTATATTCATCTTCAAGAAATCTGTGATATTTTGCTACAATATTTCTGTGTGAAAAAGTTTCTGCTATGGTGCATGTTAAGTGCCTTGTTATGAGAGGACATTAAATTTGTATCTCAAGGTAGAGCATGCCTATAATTCTAGAACTCAAATGGTGGAAGGGAAATGATTGAATGTTTGAACCTGGCTATTCAGGAAGACTTTGTCTCAAACTAAAAAGGCAAATAAACTGTGTATCGATAGATAGGAAGAGCATAGTCTGTATAGAAATTGGATTTAAGCATCCACTCGAGGTGCTGGAATACTCCACATGAATAACAGACGAAACTATTTTGCTGTCTAGATTCTGTTGTTTTTCACCTGGGAAAATATCTAATGTGGATCTGCTAATAACAAACTGTTTCAGTTTTTATTTATCAGGAAATATCTGCATTTCACCTTTGTTTTTAAAGTTAGCTTTGCTGAATACAGGATTTTTGTTCGATGAGTTCATTCTTGGGTTACAATATATACGCAGTGCTATTACTGGGTCTCTGTTGTTTTTAATAAGAAATTATATCTTAATTTTCTCTGATTAGTGATGCAGCAGTTTTTGTCAAGACTTTGGCTTTTTTATTTTCAATATTTTTAACATACTAGTGGACACTATTACATTGCAATTCACCGAGTTTCCTGTGTGTATAAGTTTATTTTTATTATTTTTTCATTTATTTATTTTTCAAGACAGGATGTCTCTGTAGACCAGGCTGGCCTCTAACTCACAGAGATCCGCCTGCCTCTGCCTCTGGTATAAGTTTATTTTTAAACAAAGGCTTCTAATATTGTTGCATTGTCTCTTCAAAATATTTCATTATGTTTTCTCTCATTCTTTAAGTGTGTGTGTGTGTGTGTGTGTGTGTGTGTGTGTCTCATGTTATGGTGACCTCACAACTATAAAATTATTTTGTTGCTATTTAAATGTAACTTGGCTGGTTTTGAATTATAATGTAAATATCTGATATGCAACCCCCCAAAAGAGATAATGACTCATAGGTAGAGACTACTGCTTTAGATCAATAATTAATATTTTGCTTTCCTTGTTCCTATTTGTGATTGTTCTTTTTTGGTGAATTTTAAATTTTAGTGATTATTTTGCATGCTAAATGAGAAATCTACTAACTGAGCCATATCCTGGTTTCATGAAATATGATTTTAATTCTGTTTACATTTTATTTATTTTCTATGTATTGTACTCCTACAAGCACATACCATGGCACATGTGTTCAAGTCAGAGGCCAACTTTCAGGAGTCAGCACCTCTCCTACCCTGTGGATCTGAGGATCCAACTCAGGCTGTCAGGGTTGGTTGCAGGTGCTCTCAATGATCCTGAAACGGTGGTTTTAAAGAGGACAATAAGTTCAATCCCTGGAACCCACAGAAAAGTGGGAGGAGAGAACCAACTCCACAAAGTTGGCCTCTGATGGTCACATGCAGATAGGCCCATGCACACACACCTTGCACCAAGTACAAACGCATACATACAAGCATACACTAATGGTAAATAAGATTTATTTAAAAATAAAGATGGGGGCTGGAGACACGGCTCAGAGGTTAAGAGCACTGGCAGCTCTTCCAGAGGTCCTGAGTTCAACTCCCAGCAACCACATGGAGGCTCACAACAATCTGTAATGACATCTGGTGCCCTCTTCTGGCAGGCAGGCAAACAGAATGCTGTATCCACAATAAGTAGATTTACATTAACAATGTAAATAAAAAAAAAATAAAATGGTGGTACACGCCTTTAATCCCAGCACTTGGGAGACAGAGGCAGGCAGATATTTGTGAGTTCCAGGCCAGCTTGGTCTACAAGAGCTAGTTACAGAACAGCCTCCAAAGCTACAGAGAAACACTGTCTCTAAAAAATACCCCCCAAATTAAATAAATCAATAAAGATGATAGCTGGGTGATGGTGGTGGTACTACACACCTTTAATCCCAGCACTGGAAGGCTGAGGCAGGCAGATCTCTGATTTGGAGGCTAGCCTGGAATACAGAGTGTTCGTATACCAGTACAGCCAGGTCTACACAGAGAAAACTTGTTTTGGAAAAAAAAACAAAGCTGGGCAGTGGTGGCATACATCCTTAATCTCAGCACTGGGGAGGCAGAGACAGGAGGATCTCTGTCAGTTCCAGGCCAGTCTGGTCTACAGAGGGAGTTCCCTGGACAGGCCCCAGAGCTACAGAGAGACCCTGTTTTGAAAAAACAAAAAAGAAAATGTAAAAGGGATTCTCTCCCAGAGCATTGAGAGGGAGCAAAAACTCTGCCACAGGCTGATTTTACATTTCTGGCTCTCGTGTATAAAAGAAAAACTCTGTTCTCTTAAACCCTCTGGATTAGAAGTTGTTATGGTAGCCCCAGGAAACTCATGCTTCTTCCGAGTAAACCTTTTTTATTAAGATTCTTTTTTTACATATATTTACTGTGTTTGTGGGTGGGTGGGGAGTGTATGCCAGGGCAAGAATGTGGATGTCAGAGAACAACTTGAGGGAGTCTGTTCTCCCCTTCACTGTATGAGTCCTGGGGACTGAACTCAGGTTGTCAGGCTTGGTGGCAAGCACCTTTACCCACTGAGCCATTTGCTGGCTGTCTTAGTTTTCTTCCTTCTTTTTTTGAGGTATTTTCATGCAGGCAGGTTGGTCTCACAATCACTGGGTAGCCAAAGATGGTGCTGAACTCTTAATCCTCCTACCTCAAATTCTCAAGTGCAAGGATTATAAGAACACATTGCCTGGCAACATTTCATATTTTTCTACATTAATCCGTTTTTACTGTAACAGATGAGAATTTGCCTCCTCTCCTAATGAAAACTTTGAAATTAAAAAATTTTAAAGACGGATAGCAACATGGCTCAGTGGGTGAATGCACTTGCTGCCAAGCCTGACAATCTGTATTCAGTACTGGAACCCACATAATGGAGGGAGACAATCAAGTCGCACATGCTGCTTTCTGACCTGCACATGTACACACACACACACACACACACACACACACACACACACACACACACACACACACACACATACACACACACACACACACACTCACACACACATACATGTTGGGGGTGAGAAAAATAGCCACATATTTAAGACTGGTGACCCTGTGTTATGAAATACTTCAAAGTGTCTGATTAATTACCATTAGTTCTGAACAATGAATACTTTTTTTGGAAATATACACATTTCAAAAATTCCCTTCTTGCCTACTTACATCAGAAAATATGTACTAGTTCACCAGATTCTTGATTATCATCTCCAAAAGTCACCCTAACTGACTGCTCTGTGGAAATGGATTTAGGCCTTTAAATATCTTTCCTTTTGTCAGTTCACTTTGTCAATAGAAAACATTAGAAGCAATGCAAGACATTTTGCTTCCTGAAGTGTTCATCGGGTACTCTATGACTGAAATCAATGAAGAGCTCTCTCCAGTCCCCCTCTCTCTATATATAGGGCATCAGTGTTTCTCAGACTGGCTTTCAATTTAGCCATGTAGCCCAGTCTACTTCTGAACTAAGGATCCTTCTGCCTCAGCCTCCCTAGTGCTGGAATTATAGGTGTATCAGAACACACAGGCTAATCTTTATTTTCTTTACTACTAATCCACTATCACTTCAAACTCCTATTAAAATAATTATTTCTAGGTGACATTCCCCCCATATACACAAGAGACCAAAAAAATTTTAAAAATAATTTTTAGACAAAGTAATTTCTTACCTTAAACGTCTGTAAATTTGTGGGGGTTTAATCTCCTAACTTCATCCAAATCAATAGTTAAGTGAGCACAGGGACAATTATGTCACATACCTTTTGAAATAGAACACAAATATATTCTCACATGACTTCTACAGAAATTGTATAAGTTAAGTAAGTAATGGCAAGTATTGTTTATTCTTATACTTTACACATAAGGAATACAAATAATATGAGTGTTCTAAAGTCATAGAGTAGTCATTTTTATTATCCTAAGTCACTGTAAGAATTACATGAGCTATAACAGGTAACATGTGTGGTAATGACTTGGTAAAGGTTAACTGTTAATTATATTATATTGAACTATAAAAATTATTATTTCAATAAACCCCTTAGAATGATTTTCTGAGGTTTCATATTTCTTTTATCTGCTTTTCCAAATAATGTTCATACCAAAGATAAGCATGGCATTTCACAGTTACCTTGTATTGTTATTAATTTCTGTATAAAAGAAACGGGCAGAAAGAGTTGACAGGGACATACTAAGTTTATGTTAACTTAATGGAATTCTAGGCCCACTGTGGTACTGGCTGAGCTTCCTATATCAGAAGACCAAACTCTCATTTAGAAGGTGAACCTTCACATTTGAATATTTTCAAGTGCAAATAATGTATACATTTCAAAGAAGTTTTATCCCATCAGGTTTAGCTTCAATGAATTCTTATTTCAAAGTATACAATGGGCAAAGAACATTAAAAGAAAGTGGGTAAGTGAACCAGTTTACTACATCTGTGTCTATTATACAATTCCTTGGATTGCTGAATATTTTACCCATCACCAAAAGTCAATGCTGTGCTATGAGTGGAGGCTACACGTAAAATAATTGTAGTCTAAAACCTGTAGAAAACAAGTTTGTAAACTAGCAGTGTGATTTATGCCTGTGATTTCAGTCCCAGGGAAGTGAGGCAGGAGGATTGTCATTGAACTCCAGGTGAGTCTTGGCTAAATAGTGAGAGCACGTCAGAAAATATCACAAAACAAAACAAACATTCATTTCTATCCAAATTCGAGTGGATATTTAAGAACTTTTTAAATGTTTTGGCAGTGTTTCAAAACAGAGTTCAAACTTAATCTACAGGAATGGAGAAAATATATTGAACATTTCAGAAGCTGGAAACGGCTTCCTGGTTAAAGTGTCAATTCCTCACGCAAAACTTATCAGAATCAAGGGGGATATTTTAAGTGGTTTTTCTACAAGAATATTATCTCCGTACTCCGGTCATCAGGTAAGTACAGCACTTTCATTTGGTGCAGTGTTCCTCCTTTGGACACAAAATCTTTAGTGGCCAGCGTCATTTCTTTGAGGGTAGAGACAGAACAAACAAATTAAACCCTTTCGGTGACCTAAAGTAGTTAGTTAGTTCAAGTTAGTCCATCACAAGTTTCTCACGAAAGATTCCCTCACCGGAAAGGGTCCGATCGCTCTCACAGGAAGGGTAAGCAACTCCGGCGCTATGGGACGCCAACGCCACCACAGAGTTTTACAGGGGTTGCCAGAGCGTCTGCAGGCTTTTAGCACCTCTTCCTCCTTCCCTGGGCAGTAACTAGGCAACCTCAGGCCCGCTTAGGCGGCTGGAGCTCGTTGTCGGCCTTAGTGCCTCTAGTGGCGAGCCGTGAGCACTGCAGGCTGCTCCCTCCCGTTTCCCCCGTTTCCGTGACTCCACCCCCCTTTGCCCCCGCCCACCCCTCAGCGACTTCGGCTCCTCCCTCTCCTTCTCTCTTGCTCTCCTTCCTCCTCCGCCTCCTCGGCTCTTGGGCTAGAATATCTATGGGTCGAAACGTGATGCGATGAATCCGAGAGAGACCGAAACTGGGACGAGGAGTGCGGCGGAAGCGGCGGGACTCCCAAGCATGGGGGCTTCACCACAATAGAGGCAGCGCCCCCACCCGCCCCCGCCAACCCTCCGGAGCGAAGCCCCCAAACCCCCTCGGGAAAAGGATGGCGGCGGCACCTACCCAGATCGAAGCCGGTGGGTAGCTGAGCCGGGGGCTAAAGGGACGGGGGCTTTGCGCGACGGCTGTCAGAATTTTTTTTAAAAGCTTGTATCTCTCTTCCTTGCCTCTCTCTCAACATCTCCCCCCCACCCCCCACCCCTTCTTTAGAGCTGTATTACCTGATCGCTAGGTTCTTGCAGTCCGGACCCTGTAACAAATCCGCTCAGGTGAGAGGGAGAAGGATATCTGGGAGTGTTGGGAAATGGTCCCAATGGGGAAATTGAGGCACCGGGTGAGCAGTGCAGTGGAGGGTGAGGGAAAGGCCGGCCTCGATTAGTCCTACAGTCAGCGGCTGTGTTGGAAGCGGGGTGGGAGGAATGGGTTGGCGCCCCAGTCTGCTCCTCACACCCGTGTTTCCCTCTTCCTCAGGTGCTAGTGCAAGAGCTCGAGGAGCATCAGGTATGGACCCCTTTTGGGAAGCGCTGGGGAGGGCTGGGGAGAAACTGGAAGAAGGGTAAGGGAGGGCAGGGGCCGAGGGCAGGGGCCCGGAGGGAGCCTTCGAGCTGGACACTCCAGGCTGTTGTCACTTGGGGTAAGCTGTGTTCTTTCTCAGAAGGGGCGGACAACGCAGTGGTCTTAACTCGTTGCCTTTTCTTCCTGCGGGAGGTGTTTTTTCAGGGTTTCCTTCCCTTTGGCCTGCCCCCCACCCCCCCACCCCGGCACGGCGGCAGTAGCTGTAGGGACTGGGGAAATGATAGTGCTTAAGGGTCTAGGACTGGACTCCGGGCTGGGTTCCCCTGATGGGGAGTAGAGGCTTTTCCTTCACCCCCCCTTTTCTTTTCCTCTGGCCCCCAGCTGATTCCGCGCCGCTTAGACTGGGAGGGGAAAGAGCACCGAAGAAGCTTCGAGGATCTGGTTAGTAAACTTTTCATTTCAACTTAGCCCAACTCTTTCTCCACTCCCTCCCCACCTTGTGCCCCCAACCCGCCCCTGACCCTTCAGCCCGCAAGGCTCCCGGAGCCTGCTGTTTGGTGTTCGAACGACTGCCCCTTCCCCCTCCCAGCGTGTTCGAAAGGGTACCTTGCCCTCCTCCAGCCTTGCTTTTTTTCACCCGAAAACTTTGAGGAATGTGAGTTGGTTATCAGAGGTGCTGTGTTGTGGATTACGACTATGTTACAAACATCGGAGAAGGCCCATTGTAGGGGGAGAAGGGACAGAAACCAGGGGGTTATCTTGGGGCACGTACCAAGGACTGACGCTGGCCAATGACAGCGTTGGTAACAGCCCGGAGTTCCGGATTAGTGGAAGAAAACTGGTTTCTGGTTGGTCCTGGCTTGAAATACGGGAACTGAGGCCAGGCTTGGGTGGTTTTTTTTTTCCTCTCGCTCCTCTCTCGCTCTCTCTCTCTTTTCCTCCTTTTTCTTTCTTTCTTTTTTTTTTTCTTTTTAGAGGGGAGGGGAGAAGGGCTCAGAAGGGGAGCTGACTCGTAACTGAGGAAAACGACACAAATAAAGATACTAAGGACCGCCGAGTGAATTCCAAGATTTGCGGTCTTTAGATAATGGACTACTGAATAGAAACATTGTTGTATATTTCGGGTCTTAGAAAATTGCTCATTAATTCATCAGTAAATCGCATTTGTACAAATATGTTTTCACTAAACCAAAACTATGGTTTATGACCTTTTGGGGTAGGTGAACATGGTTTGGGGATTAGGAAACAACAATGGGCATTTAAAAAAAATAGAATATACTTTAGTTAAGGACCAAAGCTATTGGATTGACTGTTGTTTCTCCTGCAAACATAATTTGTAATGTATGTGCACCTTCTGCTCTGCACTGAGACAAAAAGGTGATCCTTTATAATTTGGGAAGGAGGTTCTTCTGTTAGTCACAGATGTAGACTTGTATAATGATAAAAGGAGTGATGATAAAATCTAAATTCAGCTCTTTTTCCTAAAAATAAGATCTAAATGAGAAAAATCAGACAAAGTGGAAAAAAGTTGGAAGGGTAGTAGAATAAATAAAAAATTATGTAAAATTTTCTTGTAATAAGAAAACATGTAAATTGCCATGGTATTCATTTTGATACTTTTTATGTATTACAAGAGTGAAGGCATGTTAATTATTACAGAATCTACTGATTTTTTTCTTAATGTCTTGCAAATAAAAAAATGCTACAATTATAACAAGAGTGAATGCCAACACCAGTACTGACAATGTTTATAATTTCTCAGCTGGCTACAAATTATTTCTGAACACCTCTTACTATTAACTTTTGGTCAGAGTTTTATGTTGTTGTCGTTATTATATATAAGTTCTATTTGTACCACAGAACATAAAACTATTCACTAATATGTGTTTTAGCAGGTATATGTTTGAAAATAGTTTTAATATCTAGATGTATGGACAGTGTTTTTTGTTTGTATTTTTCTCTTTCCAGTTTACAAATGTGTGTGCCAGTAGATCATTTTTGAGCAAATGGCAAAAGGAACCTTAAAAGGAAAAAGTCTATTTTAAAGACTCACACGCCTTTAATCCCAGCACTTGGGAGGCAGAGGCAGGCGGATCTCTGTGAGTTCGAGGCCAGCCTGGTCTACCGAGGGAGTTCCAGCACAGCCTCCAAAACAATACAGAGAAACCCTGTCTCGAAAAACAACAACAACAACAAAAATTCTCCTCACCACACAATTTTTGGGTTTTTTTTTGCGACAGGGTTTCTCTGTAGCTTTTGTAGACTGTACTGGAACACGGCTCTGTAGATCAGGCTGGCCTTGAACTCACAGAGATCTGCCTGGAATTGAAGGCTTGTGCCACCACTGCCCATCCCCACCACACAATTTTAAAGCCAGTTTACTAGTTCTTTTCTTAAATTGTAAATGCAATTTTTTCCAGAATTATGATCTGTGTCTGTTTTCTGCTTTATATTTTTCTGACAGTACTTTTGCATGACTAGTGTTATTTGAATAGCTGTCCTTGTAATGGTAAAATAAAACAATTAGATGTATTTTAGACACTATGATTTGTTCTCCATTTCCAATTGCTCATCTGGTTTGTATTCACTTTTTCACTAATAGTTTTGCATAATTAGATGACCCTTTTTGCTACCTTCTTCCCCAAGAGTCCCTTGAACTTTATTTTCTAAAGTGGATTTATGAATAAGGTCAAAGGACCTCACCAGCTTTGAAGCTTTTGTCATATATTGAAGATCACTCTCCAGAAGTCCAGAGTTGATTTAAATGGGCTTTTACAATTAGTACTAAGGCTTGCTTAGTCCTTAAGAGTTGCCCTTTAAAATTATTGTTAATGCATTTATCTATTTACATGGACTTCATTTTATTCTGTCATATATTTCTGTTTTGTTAGCTTGTTTGAGACAGGGTCACATATTGTTGTGTAGGCTCACCTGGAGTTCGTTATGTAGCCCAGCCTCGCCTCAAACTCAAAGCAGCCCCCTGCTTCAGTCTTTAAAATGCTGGGATTACAGGTATGACCCACCTCATCAATATTTATTTAGTTTTGGTATTTGGTATTGTGAGGTGTTTTTTGGTATTTGGTATTGTGAGTTTTGGTATTTGGTATTGTGAGGTGTTTTTTGGTATTTGGTATTGTGAGTTTTTGTGTAGAATTTGTGATACTGTTGTAGCTTCAAACTTACCTTCCTATTTCTGCAGTGTTCCCAGCAGGCATGTGCCACCATGTGCCTGGGCTATGTGTTCGTAAACTCTCTCTCTCTCTCTCTCTCTCTCTCTCTCTCTCTCTCTCTCTCTCTCTCTCTCTCTCTCTCTCTCACACACACACACACACACACAGGATGAAACCAAGGGTCTCATGCATAAGCTACATTCCAAGACCTTTCATATATATTTAAAATTTTATATGCAGAGGATTTTGTACATTTGACTATATGTATTCAGATAAACTATTTAACCTTGCTTTTTCACTTAATGTTTTATGTTATGTACCTTGTTCTTTTTCTGTATCCCCCATGTCTGCATTTTTCATTCATGAAATTGAAAGCACTAGTTAGCAATTGTATTAGAATTGCATAGGTTGTATTATCCTTATTTAATATATAGAGTACATGAGGCCATGATTATATTAAAATGAATTTATCAAAGTTATATGTTCAAAAAAGATGACATATTCAGTATTGTCTCTAAAAAGAGTGTATGTGTTTATGAAGATAATTGTTATCATTCTAAGAATTATCTTTCTATAAAATATTCAGGTTTTAAAACTTTTGGCAGTATTGGGGATTAAACCAAATGCATCATGCATACAAAGCAAACACTACAACCAAACCACAGCCCTAGCCCTATTAAGAGTGTTTTTATATTTGTCATTTGATTCATAACAACTACTTTAAGACAATATATTAACATTCCAGACATACCTATATTCTTTTCTTACCTTGCCCAGCTTTTGTCTAGTTGCTAACAATAACTTAAATTGGCTACTAGACTAGCAGACTAATTTTTGAGTGCTGGTAGGATAGTTATGGAATGTGTAAGCATGGAATGATTTAAAATCTGCTTTGTGACATACAGTCACAGTTACAAAGAACAGAATGAAGCATGCGAAACCTAAACGCGTGCTCCTCACATCCAATACAGTGCAGCGTCACCACAATAACTGATGTCATGGTAGAGCAGGTAGTCTCAGGAAGCTGTTGTTG